CACATATATACACTCACATATATATATATATATATATATATATATACATATATATATATATATATATATATATATATATATATATATATATATATATATATATATATATATATATATATATATATATATATATATATATATATATATATATATATATATATATATATATATATATATATATATATATATATATATATATATATATATATATATATATATATATATATATATATATATATATATATATATATATATATATATATATATATATATATATATATATATATATATATATATATATATATATATATATATATATATATATATATATATATATATATATATATATATATATATATATATATATATATATATATATATATATATATATATATATATATATATATATATATATATATATATATATATTCATATATTACATTAAATTAATCACAAATAATTGCTTTGCTGTAGTCAAGATTTACAAATCAATATTATAATAATATGATTCCAAACCCTCACTCCACATAAGTATATATATACATACATACATACAAATGTATACGTATATATATGTATGTATACACACACACACACTGGGGACTGGGCACAAACAAATTCTAACACAGACCAGATCCAGTGGTACTCAAATTATGAGATCAAAACTTTCTCTATTTAGAGTTGATCATATCTATCATTGAATTTCTTCGATATTAACTCGTTGCGTTTTAATTTCTTTTTTGTCGAAATCAAGAGATTTTTACTGCATTTGTAAGAGGCAAGGCGAGATTGTATCGGAGCGAAATATCTGCGGTTATCCTCGACATTATATTCTAAGGTACGTCTCATTAATTAATCCCGTTTTTCGGTTTTCAATTTTCGTGCATTTAAAGTAGTTTTATGTAATGTTTTTCACATTTTTTTTTCGATTTTTTTCGTTATTACCATATTTAGGAACGAGTCGGAAAGATTGAGGAATAGAATTACCCGATTTAATTCGTTCAAAATAGTAAAAAGAAAAAAGTGATCAATTTATTTGCCATGATCACTTTCACTTTTGTAGAAGTTTGAATATTTCTGCAGCAACTACTTCTATCAACACTAGTTTGAACAATTAATTGTTTGCACGTTATGGAATTTTCTCACTCTAAATTAAACAAAATAACAAAATATATATATGTATATCACATTAAAAAATAATATTTGTATTTTTATTGCAATTAATTTATTATTATTTTTATATGGGATTTTAGATATCCTTAAATGAATAACCTCATGAAATTGCATATTCATCGTACCATATTATATATATTCCCGTTGCCCATATCATGGTTTTTACTTTTCTTAATAATGTTAGAATAGTTTATTTAATGTTACACCCGATAAATTTTATCGAATTGTAACGCAATTAACTATGAGTTGGTTAATACCTCAAAGGAAATTACTTCATCGAGAATTTATTCAATTCAATTAAGTGATTGATTGAGGCCCTTAGACGACTAAAACGAATAATTATTTCCAAATGACTAGGCTATAAAGTTTGAATATACAACAATTGAAGTGAAATTCAGTTCACTTATTAAATTGTCCCGTAAGAGATAGCCTAGCAGTTGGTGCAATTAAACTTGTGTCAATTGACTCAGGTTCGAATTCCCTTGCTACGCGGTTCGCTAGGTCAAACTTGTCGCATATGGTCAACCCAGTGCGATTTACGTCTCTAGTATGGTTTGCAGTATAGTGTGGTTACGTCTCTAATCTCTAGTAAGATTTACAGGTTATTATACGAAAGTGTAGCCAATTTAATCAAATTAAAAGCTCCTTTATCAATTTGACTTTAAAAAAAATAGTAAAAAAACAAATCTCGAATGAGTCACTTGAAAATCTTTTCACTTTTTCAGTAAATAAACTTAAATAAAAATATTAATTTGCCATTGTCAAACAAAAACAATGTGGTTAATTACATGAATCAGAGCCACCCAATAGTACCTTTCGGCTAAAAAAAACAGAATAGAAAAAAGTTATTACTAAAGTTCAAATTATAATAAAAATATACATAACTAGACAAAAATAGCTACCCTAATCTTCTTTTAAGCTTTGCATCATCCTATTTATTTATTTTATTAATTACATCCTGATGTCAGGTGCCATGGTAATCTAAAGAATTATACAAAAATTAAAAAATAAATAAATTAATTAAAAATTTAAATAAATAAACTGGCCAGCCAGCATGGACCATAAAACAACAAGCCAAGATTAAATCTAAGGTAACACCCCATGTGGAATCTCCATCATTTCTTTGGAACTTGTTTTAATTTATTTATTTATTTTAATTAATTATTTTATATTTTTCTTTTGGGTAAAACACCAGTTAAAATTAAAAAAATAATTAATCATAATAAGAATTAAATAAAAAAGGACAGATCATTAGGTATTTATTGAAATTTGGAGCTGGTTATTAATGTAGATAATTAATACGTGTACTTTATATAGAGTAAATAATGTAGCTACAGTACAAAGTAATTAATGCTTGATCTCCCAGTTTCCTATATATTAATAAATAAATATTAATAATAAATAATTAAATAAAATGATTAACCTTATGTAGCATCGAGAAGTCAATATGTGATTCATTTGCTGAAAGGTTGGGGGAATAATTATTATAATAAAATGGAGTATTATTTCATTAACTCAGATCTTATAGATTTCTGTGTGATTTTCAATATAATAATAATAATTGTAGTTTTGGCTTTGAAGAAAGATGTAGTAGTTATTTTTAAGATTTGACATTTGCTATGACAAAGTTTATAATAACTGAAATGATAAATGCAGGACGACTTTTTCAACTAGAAAAGCTTATAAATTTAAAAGAAAAAACAAGCGTATATTGTAAACACTAGTCATATTATACTTAAAATTTGATAAACTCGTGTTTTGATGATTAGTGGTGCGATATTACGGAAAAATAAACGTTTGAAAGAAAAAATGGTGGTGTTAGTGTCAAGTTTTTAATTTGTTAAATAACGTACCATATGTTTACTAAATGTGTCATGTATTTATCGAGTCTCATTATATAATCATTAAAATCATGGGTATGAATTAAAACGAAATATCTAAATTCTGCCGATTTGGATATGAATTTTCTTAATATTGAATATCTCTTTCATGTTGATTACTCGTTTTTTAGATTTTTTTTCTGGACCCAAGTTGGAATTAATGTTACACTAAAAAAAATACCAAATATGATTCAAATCTTTTCAATTTCCATCATTATATTAATTACTAAATAAATCTTGCATCCTCATTCTCATTATGTTATTCCTATTAGCAAAATCACCCTATAATGGAAAAAATTAAGCCAAATATACCCCTAATAAAAAGCACCAATAAGAGAATTTCTTTTAAGTTATAACTTATAACAATTCAAATTAAAAAACAAAAAAAAAAACATAGTGGGGTTTTGCAATTAAGTCTATTTGACACATAAATAGAAAGTTACACCTGTAAATAACAATATAGTGGGAGTACAATATTGTTTCATAACTAATGAATACATATTTTCATTAATGGAATAAATATTTATTTTTCTTTTAATGCAATAAATAGTTATTATTTTAATTTATTTAAATTTTCTTTTAAGGCAAGACAAAGGAGGAACATATAGAAAAGCTTGTATTGACAGAACACATGAATGGGATGACAAAATGTTTTTATTTAATTAAATTAAATTATTAATTGTTTTGAAATAAACATTCTAAATGGATGAAATGATTTTCACAAATTAGGGTTCTGTCTGAATTGTCTCTGTCTCTCTCTCACATCTCTCTACATTCCTCTTTTAGCAAACTTTCTTTCATATTTTAGTCCATAACATAATTACTTCGCCATTCAATCACCCCCTGAACCATATCACATTTAGACAATCACCCTCCTCTTTTCTTTTTTTTGATCAATTTCACCCACGTTCTTTGATTTGACATTATTCAATCCCTCCTTTTTCTTTTCTGTTTCAATTTATTAATTATTATAAAAACATTTATTTTAGATACCCTTTTTAATAATATTGTTAAGGTTAAATTAGGGTCACCCCTGAGGTAAAATCATATTACGAAAAAACCTCTCATGTTTTGATTATTATAACCATACCCCTCAACTATGAATTTTCTTACACGTTCACCCTTGCAGTGTCGAATTCAGTGGAATCTTCTAGATTAGATAAAATATTCTCGAGTTTGTACCCGTTTTATCTCATTCGAACTCCACAATTTGAAGCAAGATAATCATACGATGTGTTTTTTGGCTTGTAAATATCAGATTGTGGTGCATTAGAAATTGCAGTTTTTACTCAAAACGAGTACAAACTAGAAAACGTTCCACATAATTTAGAAGATTACGTTGAATTTGACACCATAAGGGTGGACGTGTAAGAAGATTCATAGTTGAGGAGGGTAATTGTAATTAGCCAAACATGAGGGGGTTTTTCCGTAATTTAACTATTATTAATAACCAAGATTTTTTTTCATTCAATGAAATATAATATAAAAAGCTAAAAAAGCAGAAGTGAGTCTAAGATTTCTCAGGTAAGTCTACTAATAATTAGTGACTAGTAGTCTATTTAGGCGGTGGTTCCCACGCGCCTGAGATTGCGAGTGGGGGTTAAAGTCGACCTTTTCTTTTTCCAGTAAGAATTTCAACTCTCACAACACTAAATACATGGCCCTCTGCACCTCTTTGGAATTACAAGATTAAATTATTGCATGGAGTAAAACCCACCCCCACCCCCCCAGTCTTTGTACTTATTATATCTGCACACATCTGTATATATGTATATATATATTCATGTCGAAAGATGAAGATTTTTTTTTCTCTGTCGTGTAAAACTTGTTGATCTGATATCTTCTCTCTCTCTACAGCCGGAGAAAGAAATTGTATGATCTGTTTGCAGAGGAGAGAGAAAGTGGGGCGGCGGCGATGGTGTAAAAAGTTGATTGTTTGGAGGGAATTTAATTTGTGGAATTAATCAATCCGATTTTCTGAAATTGTAAAAGGTAATTTTAATGGAGGATCATCAGAGCAACAGCCACCCATCTCCGGCGTCGTCCTCGTCGAGCTCGGCGGTGGTGAAGAGCTGCCGCCGCGGGGGGCGGCGGCACGCGGAGGAGGAGGACGCCGGAGATCCGGTGGCGTGCACGGGCAAGTCGTGCCAGTCGTGCACGGCGGGGGTGATCGCCGACTGCGTGGCGGTGTGCTGCTGCCCGTGCGCGGTGGTGAACATCCTGGCGCTGGCGTTCGTGAAGCTGCCGTGGGCGGTGGCGCGTAAGTTCATCGGGCGGCGGAGGGAGGAGAGGAAGAAGAAGATGAAGAAGAGGAGGGACACGGGCGGAATTTCGGAAAAGACGAGGGCAGAAGCGGGAACGGCGGATATTGTAATGGCGTGCAGAGGGGCTGTGACGGTGGAAGAGGTAAATGACCATTTTAGTGCTGAGGAAGTCTGGTTTGAGCTGTACGAGGTTGGCCATTTGGGTTTTGGTAGGGTTTCTTTCACCGGAATTCCTTTCCAGAATAAGGGCAATTGAGTCATTTCACTTTTACTTTTTTTTTTTTTTTCTTTTTTACATTTTCTTCCTCGGCGAAACTTTTTTACCCTTTTTTGGCTTCAAAACGAAGGGTGAGTATTTATTGCCCATTTTACCCTTTGGTTTTGTGAAGTTGGATTGTGAAAAGAATGTATTTAATGGTCATTCATTAGTGAAGAAAAATTTGGAATATTTCTTTTCTTTTTCTTCATTATTATTACTACTAATTATTATTATTATTGTTATTACATTTTGCATTTGGACTTTAGGATTTAGTGAGAAAAATTAAATAAAAGACACTAAAAATTCGAATTCGATATGTTATGAAAATAACTTTTCTCGTCTGAAAATTAAGTAGTAGAAATCGTTAAGTAATAATCAATATACTAATTCAGTTCCGATGGGATTCTAAGTAGGGTGTGTTTATGTCCAAAACAAAAATTCGATTCGAAATTCATTGATGTCTTGAAAGCTAAAATTTATATTTTGGAATGAAGCCTTAGAAAAAAAACAGATATATATTTCTCTGACGTCTTGAAAGATAAAATTTATTTTGAAACGCAGGCTCATATATGAAAATCATACTATTTACGTATATGTTGTAATTGAAGTTGAAGTTAAATGAGAGTATAAACAAATATTTCATCCTTAAATTTAATCGACGATACTCAAACATATGAATTAACCCAAAAAAATAGATTCAGGAACAAGTATTATATTTGTAAGATCAAATTTATATTTTTGTTTTTTCGGAAAATGAATTCAAAACTTGCTCACACGTTATAATTCGCCCGTTCTTAGTTTGTTTAGTTTCCAAATATCTTAAAATTCTTTGAATTGGTAGAGAAATTATTTATCATATTACCAAATTTTTATTTATTTATTTATTTGCTTTTTTATTAATTACAAATGGCTTCTCTGTTTTTTCTCTTTTTTTTTTTTTTGGTCAACGGGACAAGTGTGAATTGTTTTAAGGTTGTTTTTATTAATTTATTCACAATCCTGCGTGGAATTGTCTTATTTGTTATTGCTATTTTATTTTTCTAGAAGAGGAATTGTTTGAATTTGATTCGCATATTTTACAATCCTTCACATTTTTTGTTCAAAAACCCATAAAATATTACAATTTACAAATTGCTCCATTAACTCAATTGGGTTTCTCATTAAAAGTAGGGTAAATACCACTTTTACCCCTATTGTTTAAACTTTGTGCACTTAACTCCCTAATACTTTCAATATAGCACATAACCGCTTGTACTTTCAAACTTTTATTTATACTAATGAGCATAATTATTTGCCAAGTGAAATAACATAAGGAGTTTATGTGCTTATATTAAAAATACAAGGGATTATGTGCACAAAATTCAAACTACGGAGAGTCATATGCTTATATTGAAAGTACAGAAGGTTCATGTGCATAATGCTCAAACCGCAGGGGTTAAATGCTATTTATTACACTTAAAACTAACTTATGTTTTGGTGAAGCTTAGTTGTCTAACTTATAGAATTTTTCATGTTTGTGTCGGCCAATCATTAAATGGATAATACTTCTTTAGTGGATATGGATTAGATATGTTGTTTTGGCAACATCAAATATATTTATTTCCTATTTTAATTATTTTTTTTAATTACAATAATTGATATCTAATCTTGTTCATAAATACAAGGTCAAATATTTAAATCTTGCTCATTTATTGCTTCTCTTTCTAGGTTATGTGAATTTGAATAAATAAATAAAACTAGATTTTGTAAAATCAAAATCATATTTTCAGAAATTGAAATGAAAAAAAGTGTCCCAAAATCATATTTTTCGGATTACATTCGGTTGAAAAAAAGCTCCATTTTTATTCGCCTATAATATAATTAAATTACATAATAATTATTTATTTACAAATTTTTTTAATTTTAAATTTTATAGAATTATTTTGCAGAAATTGAAATCGGATTGTTAAATCGGAATCTTTATAAATTTTAATTGCAATCCATATAATTTTTATTAAAAATAAATAAATCGGATTTTAATGAATTAGGATTAAAAAATATAGTTCCAAAATTTAAAATTTTCTGATTAGAACGACAAAATTCGAAAGAATTGGGCCCGAACTAACAACAAAAAGCCCACTGGGCTAAATTCGTTAAAGCCTGCTGGGCTATATTTGGGGAAATTACATTTTGACCCCTCATGTTTACATGAATTACACATTTGGTCCCTATTTTCACAAAAGACACATTTGCTCCCTCATGTTCCAATAATATAAGGCTTAGTTCCACTTTGCACCCTTGAAATATACTATTTTGGCACTTTGCACCCTTGAAAAATAATAATAGCACTTTGCACCCTCAAAACGCATTAAATCATTCACAATGCACCCTCAATTGAATAATAAAGGCAATTTTATTTTTCATTAGTGTTTTTCTTTTCGGGGTACAAAATTAAAAAAAAAAAAAATTGTTATTTTCTTGAACCTCAAAAAAACCTAATTTCGAGCGGACAAAGTGCGAAAAAATAAAAATTACACCAGATTATTTAAAAAAACTACATTATCTTACAAAAGAAAAATAAAAAATAAGCTTTTATCACTAAATTATTCGACGGTGGATCTTTTATGTAACTGTTTGAAAATATTCGGTGAAAATATTTGGAAGAAAATATTAGGTGAAAATATTTGATAACCGAATAGCTGAATGATATTTTTTCGTAAAATATTTTATTTTCATAAAAAAAATATAATTTTTAAATATGTTGATGGAATGTATTTTTACTTTTGAACTTTATAGTTTCAAAATGATTGATGAATAAAAAAATATTTGACATTTGGCATCCTAAAAAAATATCACTAAAAATATTAAATTTATATTTTTTAGCTTTAAAAATTCATTTGGGGTGCATTATGCATAATTTATTGTATTTCAAGGGTGCAAAGTGCTATTAATTTATTTCGAGGGTGCAAAGTGCCAAAATGGTATATTTCAAGGGTACAAAGTGGAATTAAGCCATAATATAAACACTTTGGTCATTTCCGTCAAATTTACCGTTAGTCCGTTAGTTAAGGCAGTCATGGAATACGCTTGATTTCGGTAGTTTTAACGTAAAATTAACAGAAATGACTAAAAGTGTTGAGTTTTTGAAACATAAGGGACTAAACGTATTTTTTGTGAACATAGTGGACCAAATGTGAAATTAGTGCAAACTTAAGGGACAAAAACTGTATATTTCCCAATTATGTATATCCAAAATAAATATCTAAAACATATTAATATAAAATAAATAAAAATGGAGAATATATCGAGCTTATTATACAGTATACGCACAGTTGAGACCTTTGTTAAAAAAACAGCTGCAAACAGAAAGAAGACCGAGTTGGAAATTGACTCAGCGAGTCGTGGAGATGGCAGCGTCGGCGAGCGGCGAGGCGACTCGGATAATGCTGGCGGTGAACGAGTCAACAATCAAGGGCTACCCACACGCGTCTATAAGCTGCCGAGGAGCATTTGAATGGATTCTGAAGAAAATCATCCGCTCCAACACTTGTGATTTCAAGCTCCTCTTCATTCACGTTCAAGTACCCGATGAAGACGGTATAAAAAACACTAATTATTCCTTTTTTTTTTTTTTTGTTTAAAATCATACTAGCGATTGCAGCTGTTCCGATTTTGTGATTTGTGTGGTTTTTTTTTTTTTAATTTTGTACGATATTTAGTGTCTGGTTTGATTATTTCGTAATTAGGGTTTCTGGATTTGATTATTTTCTTGGCATATGTTCATCGTTGAGCTTAATTTGTGGAGGAGATTGTAGAATTGGATATTGATTTGTTTAGTGCGTGGAAATGCAAGCGTTTGAAAAAAACAAATTCTCTGTGGGTTTTTTTTCGTGAGGGGAATTAAATATGTTGTATGATGGTTCAATTTCTGTTTTTTTTTTCTAGCTTCGGAATTATTTCCGGAGAATTTCACAAATGCGTGCAATTCGTTTCGGATCATAGATGTTTGCGGCTTCTGATTACTTGTATATAGTCATGTATCTATATAATATGTGGTATGATCTTCTTGCTGTGTTTAAATCACTGTTTTTTGAGGTGCTTATGTTTATTGATTTCCCACTGTCACATGCTCACAGCTGCGCAATTATTTCTGGAGAATTGAGTACAAATTTGCGCAATTCGTTTTTTATCATATACAGTACAGTGCATTACTCATATTGAGATATGTATCTAATCTTTTTAACATCTGGACTCTGTTTTCTGCTTCAAATATTGGTAGTTTATAGTTTCCAAATCCGAAAAAACGATTGGTTGATTCGATTACCATTATAGGGTACCTCTTTTTTTTTATTACAATTCAGTCACGTGCTTGCTCAAATTGTCCGACTTGGCTATTTACTGAATATTCTAGTTAGCTCATAAACCGATATTTCATGCAACTCATTATTTACATTCATCTAAAAGTTTGTTCTATGCTCATTTCCTGCAATTCTTTCGTCATATATAGGTGCTGATTTTTAATTTCTATCGTATAAATGGAAAATGCCAAATTTACCTAAATTGAATAGGTTTCGACGATATGGATAGTAAATTCGCCTCTCCTGATGATTTCAAGAAAATGAAGCACAGAGACAAAATAAGGGGACTCCATCTTTTGGAGTACTTTGTGAATCAATGTCATGAAATCGGGGTATGAAAACGACTTATCTGTATTTCGGCACACATGCACAAAGACGAGCACATAAAACTTCATCTATGTAGCAAATATAATCTGCATAGTCATTACGAAGAAAATAAAACCGTATTTTTCTATCTACTTTTACCTTTCAACAACATTTTTATATGTTTTTGTAGGTTGCTTGTGAAGCTTGGGTAAAGAAAGGTGATGCTAAAGAAATAATCTGCCTCGAGGCGAAACGTGTCCAGCCCGATTTTCTTGTTCTTGGAAGCAGGGGTCTCGGTCCTTTCCAAAAGTATGTGTTCTTTTCACACTTCCACTACATAACGTTTTTTTCTCGTTGTGAAATTTAATTTTATACGCAAATCGTATTAATGTTTTGATCAAGACGCAGCATTGAAAAATTTCCGATTAATTGTTTGTAGGGTATTTGTGGGAACTGTGAGTGAGTTCTGTGTAAAGCATGCTGATTGCCCCGTTATCTCGATCAAGAGAAATGCAGATCAGATCCCTCAGGACCCTGTTGATGACTGATCAGAAATGCTACCGATTTGATTGCCTGTGGGAATTTCCTCTTCTGTTTGATGTAAATGGATCGACATTGTTCTCGTTTTTTTTTTTCTGCTTTCTTGAATCTTGTGAAGTTTGAAACAAGGTTTTGCTGATTTTAAAACTACTGTAGCTATTTTCCCACGTATCGGGACTGCCATTGCATTGTAAGTAGTAGTGGTTTACCAGTTCGATTTGCCGATGAACCATTTTATGGAATGTGATTTTACTCTCTCTCTCTCTCTCTCTCTAAATTTGACACCGCAAAGGTGAACATGTAAGAAAATTCATAGTTGAGGGGGATCGATGTAATTACCCAAACGAAAGGGATTTTTTCGTAATTTGACCTTACCTCAGGGGTGGCCGTGATAAACCCTAATTTCAATGTGATTATAACCTTTGCATTTTAGCATATACTAACTAGAACACCTGAATTGGTAGTACCCATTTTTCTTTGCCCACCAAAATCCTTGTCCGAAACAAAGTGCAAGAAGTAATAACCATTTGAAGAAAAACAACAATGTGCCATAAAGACTCATCTTATTACTACAGTATACATAAAGACTGCTATTAAAAAAAAAAAAGGAAATATTACTTATCCTCTTAAACATAAACTAGAAAAAAACAAATCCAACAAATTCAAAGACCACTCAACAGACAAACACACACACGCCTCATACCGGTACACGAAACGTTATTCAAGACGAGGTATTCTCAGCCATAACTCTTACCTTCTCGCTAACTGTCTCGACTTTCTCCATCAGTTCTTTCACTTCACTCTTCAAGCTACCTTTGTCCTCTGCCGAAAACTTCGAATAATAATTCTCCATAATAGCCGTCATTATTTCCAGCTTCTGCCTCACCAAACCGACATCCGAAATCAGACAGTCGTCTTCTTCTTGTTCTTGTCCGTCATCACCCAAATCATCCACTTTCGTCTCGTCCGATGATTTCGCCTTCTTCTCGATGACGTCATCTTTTACATCGCCTAGCTGAGACAGTCTCGACTTCCTCTTCCCACGAGTTTTGCACTTTCGGTACATTTTATAGTCGGACCCTTGTAAATAAGTCGAGCTTCTAAGTGCAGAAACAAAAGCCCACACCATATCGAGCGAGCCCTCTTTGCTCAAGTGAAGATGGTCAACCGCAGCCAATTGTATCTCAGATAATAACTCGCTAACCGAAGCACCGACATCCGATACATTAAAAGTCAATTTTTTCTCGTCGTTCTTGATTATTGTCTTTGGGGTCGTCTCGACAGAAATTTCGGGCTCTTCGAGCTTCCCATTGGTTAGATTCTTCTCCGATGCCTTCTCCACTATAGCAACGTTTTCGACACTCGGGGGTATTTTCGTAATTTTGTCGTTGCTCTCAGCTGCCGGCTCTGTTGTCTTAAAGCTCGAATTTCCGACTCTCCATGTGGGATTCGTGTATGGGGGAGATAAGTATTTACTCTTCTTCCTTTCCCTAGGGGTGGTCACCCCCTCAGATTCCACCTCCTTGCCTTCACCACCTTCGATTTCCTTCGGCTTTATTCCTACTAACAAAGCACCGCCATTTTCCGCATCGGTTTTCTTCTTTCTTTTGTGAGAGGATGTCTTCTTCGTTTCTTCGGGAACGGTAATATTCTTGTTCTCTCCCATAAGCTCAGCTACACTTTTCTGCTTTCTTTTATGAGCAGTCTTATTCGGCGATGAAGAAAAAATAATCCCGTCATCTTCACGTGGGCCCATGAGAGGAACCTCGATCGGAACACTAAAATCATCTGCCACGTCATCGCCATTCTTATTCTTGTCTTCGAGACCTTCGATATAAAGAGGTTCTTGATATTCGGCCAAATGATAATCGTAACCGCCTTTATAACAATAATACGAAGACAACCAACTTTTCAAGACTCTATTTTCAAGGGCATTTTCGACACGAGATGATTTCGCCAAATGCTTCACTTTTTCGAGCAATTTTTTGGATTCAAATTCAGGGATCGAAAGTCTATTGAAATCCACTTTCGGCATTAAAACCCCTTCTTTCAATCCGGAATTTTCCACCACCGGGCAACAAGCAAGACGGGTTTTTTTCTCCTCCGTCGCACAATTACAAGTCATCTCCAATTCCACGAGCCTGGAAACTTCTTCGACGGCACTTTCTACGGCGGTCCGGAAGCTTCTAGAAGACGTGCTGCTATAATTAATCGCCATCTCGGTAAAATTCTCCACAAAGGGTATCAATTGCGAGGGCGAGCACCACGAACAAGAACCATCGCCGAAAAACGCCACCAAAAAACGCCCCTCTTGCTTAATTTCCAACGCGAACTCCGAAGCATCTTTCGGATCGTATATTTGAGCGGGCCACCACGGGTGGCTTCTAATCTTACCCCAAACTAAATCACCCACACGAAATACATAATCTTGATTATTCGAATTTTTGCTACCTCCATTGACTCCGTTAGATGCCACCTCAACATTAGGACCATCACTCAACATTTGGAGGTCATTCTCGTCTTTTTCTACAACTTTGGTTTCGAAAACTAGTTCACCGCCGTTGTCTTTTCCGATATCGGAAGATCCAGACCCGTTTTCTTTCGGTTTAGAACCCGACCCGCCCATTTCGGTTGCAGGATCTTCGGATAGGGTTTTTGTTGCAGCTGCTGCAGTATCTTCCAGAGATGCCATTTATGTGTATATTATATGTAGAAAAAATAAAATCTCGGAAATTTTTTTTATCTTTGCTTTTAATTATATAACCCAAAATTTTCGGATATTTAAAACTGCAAAAATCGAAAGAAAAAAGAAAAGGAAAGTCGGTAAGTAAACAATCACTGTAAGAAACAATTATGAACTACACATTAAATATCAAGATTATGTAACAAAAATGAATGAATGAAACATCGATTGCAAATATTTTTTTCTTTTTAATTAATTATAATAACAACTCAGAAATGAAGCGAAAAGGAAATTAATTAAAAATGAAATCGAAAAATTGAATACAAAAGATATGAAAAACGGAGAGAGCGGCAAGAAAATATTTACCGGTGTTTGTTTCCTCTCCGGCGGATTATCTGTTCGGAGTTCAGTTGCTGAAGAATTCTAGGGTTAGAGAGGACTGAGTTTCGGACAAGTGAGCTGAAACGCGACTACTTTCTCTCTCTTGTGTCCGAAAAATAATAAAATGGACAAAATGCTCTTTACCCCCTAAACATTTTCAATTTTTGTACTTTCCCCCCCAACAAATTCGAAAAAGAGATTTCCCCCTATAAATTTTCAATTTTCGTACTTTCCCCCCAACAAATTCACAAAACAGATTTTCACCCTTTAAAATTTTGTTTCAGTTGCGCTTTGCCCCATAATCCAAAACACAATATCCAATGTTGTTTATCCATCCACATCAATGGCACTTGAGTCATTTATTTTTTTCATCCAAATCTTAATATCCTAATATTTTCTAATATACGGAAAACAAAACTTATTTCACTAATTTCATTAAAATCGAATTTTTTTTCTCCCAAAATGAATTATGCAATTGTGTTCCCAAAATTATGAGAATATTTCTTCTTCAGCCAGCAAATTCGTCTTAGAAATGACGCAAATCCCCTTCAATTTGATGGGTTTGTGGCAATTTACGTGAAAATACAACAAAATTTGTAAATTAGTACAAAGTACTACTGGAACAAAATTTTAAAGGAGTGGAATCTCTTTTCTAAATTTATAGGGGGTAAAATGCAAAACATTAAAATTTATAGAGGACGAATTGCTTTTTGTCCTAACAAAATTAATAATTACAGAAAATTGAATGTTGCGTAGCACCTGAAATTCGTGTGGATCTGGTGCAGTGCACCCCCTTCCCGGTCATCTTAGACCAAAGAAAAATAGTAAATAGTCTACAATATGTACTCTGTAGTCTGTAGTAAACAAAATTCGCAATATATTTATATATAAAAGTAAGAAACGTAAAAAAACTCTGATAAATCTTAACGACATTTTTGTAATTTTTAAAATAAATTGTTATTATTATCCTTTTTTCATCTTCTATTATTCAACATTTTTTGGCTTTCCCAGCAAATCATATTTATAAATCCGCATGCAAAACTGAGTTTTTTTTTTTTAAATGTTATTTTGGTAATTTAAATTTCACAATCAATTATTTTAGGGTCCATTTGATACACACCCCTAGCATGGAAAATATATGGGGATAGGTCCACCCCTAAAATTCTTCCTTTGAGATAACCCCTGGAAAGGCAAAAGTACTATTGTGCCCTTATGTGCATTTTCGCCCAACTGCATTTATTATTTTCGCCCTGCATTCAGCATAATGTCAAACTGCATTTAGATTTTGGGCCTGCATTTATCATTTTTACAGATTTTTATAATAAAAAAATATAAATGTTTATTTTATTATTATTCTTTTATATATACCCTATTTTCTGTTTTTTTAATTATTTTTTAATTTTTTATTTTTTTTAATTTTTTTAATTTTTTTAATTTTTTTAATTTTTATTTTTTTAATTCATTTTTTTTTTAATTTTTATTTTTTTAATTCATTTTTTTTTTAATTTTTATTTTTTTAATTTTTTTTAATTTTTAATTTTTTTTTCAAATTTTTTTAATTTTTTAATTTTTTTGATAAATTTACTGTACCGAAATTGACTACACATGACTATATTATACTACACATAACTGTAATATACCACAATCATGTTATGTAATCATGTACTGTTTTTTTACCAAAATTAATCTACACGAACAACAAAATTTACAATTTCAATCTTGATATTATAAATCAACTAACCCAAAAAAAAAAAACGAAAACACAATCACATCCATAAAATCTTCAAAACATGAACACACATTACTATACATTAAAAAACACATAACACAGATATAACTATATGTTACTACACGTGACTATAGTTATCTACAATTATCTACAATGAAACGTCACATGACACTTCTCTGCATCTTATTCTTTGCATCTCATAATGTTACCCAAAGCAAAACCTGTGACAAAAAATACAAGTTAAACAAAACGAAGAACAAAAATGGAACAAGCGATTTATATTACGTGAAAAAAATACAAAAAAACAATGAAAGACATTTTTTTGATAAATTTATTTTGGTGAACTATAGTCACAAGTAGTTGTTACTGCATATGACTAGATATGACTATATGTAGTCAACTATAGTCACATGTAGTTATGTTCATTCTTGTTTCTACATGTGACTATATATGACTACAGTGTACTATATATGTATATAAACCAAAAAGTTCACAATTGAATCTATATAAGATTATGAATAAAACAATGTGGTGGAAAAAAAAAAGACACCATTAT